GAAACTGTAAAGTGTTATATAAACAGAGGAGATTACCATATAGGTTCTATCTTGATGTACCAAGAGGCCTTTTCAGGAATCTGGTTGGAGCCTTGTGAGATGCTTAGGTAAAGGGATTCCTTAGTAGAATTTCTTTTGCATGAAGTTTTGATTCCTGAGTTATCCCAAAGATGATGCTATGAAGAATTCACTGTGCATTGGTCTTGTTCCCAATGGGTCAAATATCTGTTTTCTCATTCAGTAGACTGCTACAGATCTGGAGTAGAAAAAAACCCAAAACAGGGTCCAACAATCTTGATGGGATCCTAGGCAGTTCATTAGCTTCAATCATTTGAGACTGTGGGGGTATGATCCAATGCTGGTCTCTGCTTTTCTTCAGTGTTGCCAAGTGAAAAACAAAACAATACAACCCTGGTCCAAGTTTACTATGTGTCTCTGAAGGCTTTAACTGCAGAAATAAAATGTACAATTATGGAACAAACTCGGCCTCTGTTGTGATAAAATAACTACAGCCATTTGGCTTGAGGATTCTCGCCTGTACTATAAGAGCTATGCTGAATCTGGGCAGAGTAAGAGTGGAGGTAAAGGCCACATCATGATGGCTGAATGCCTCTTGGGTCACAGTGGTCCACTGGAATGGTGTCGTCTTCAGTAGTAAGATGGTAGGAATCACCATGGACAAAAATCCAGGTATCAGGTCTGTAGACTGATGGAATAGCAGAAGGAAGGTCATCAGAAGTCCAGGTGAACATTCAGCAATCAGGAGGCAGAAGACTAGAAGGGGCAGGGAAAAAACAGGAAGGTAACAAATGCATGGAATTATAAACACAGGACTGTAATACTAGGGTAGGGTCTGCTGTCAGCATATCAACTGCCTGATGAGTATATAAGTATTAACAAGCCTGACTTAGAGGGTACAGAGAAATTGCCAGGGGCAAGGTTAGCAAAAAAGGAAAACAAATGACTGATAAATAACTGCTGATAATAAGAACAAAGAGTTCTCTGGCAAAGGGAGTTTTCAGTTTTCTGACTCCTGAGAATAAACCGTTCAGGGTGAAACAACAGGAAATGCCCTAAAAATCCTGTTTGGAGGCAGTAATTTGTTTTCAGGCTACAGGGCATTAGTTTGTAGAGAAAAGGAAGTGGCTTTACAAGGTACAAAAGGTATTTATGTTTACATATCAATTTTTAGGGTTACTTTCCCAATGCAGTCCTCAAATTGTTTTATGATCTTGTCCTTTAAAAGCTTCCCCTAACCTTCACTTTAACAAGATTCTATTTTGACCAAGACAAAATAAGACCCCGGGTCCTTGCACTCTTTTGTACATAATACCCCATTCAACTCTCAATTCAACCCTCTCAATTAGATGGCTCCCTAATTTTTTCAAATCTAGAATTAAGAAGTAAACATGAAATAAGGATTATATTTAATGATTTGTATTTATCAAGAGTAGTATTAGTCATTATGTAGTGATTAAACATACTAAGGATTCTAAGGTAGCCTGCTCTCTAAAAAAAGCTTCATTAGAAGTTGTGGTATGTTTAGGCAAAGATGAATAAAATGAAGGCTCTTGCTTTCAAAGAGTTCGTTATATGGAAAAAGAGCAAATGCATGCAAATAACTAACAGATTTTGCATATCGAAGACAAGTTATAAAGACGTTCTTGCTAACGTTAAGAGTCACAGGGAAGCTAACGTTAAGAGTCACAGGAAAGAGCATTTTAGCTGAAAATGAGGAAATGGCAGAGTTCTGACAAGTGATGAACGACAGAAGGGCATTTCCAGGGTTAAGAGTATGAACAAGAGAAGTGCAGAAATGGAGAAGAGGCATTTTTGAAAATGGCAAGTACCATAGTTCACTTTGGATGGAGTGCTATCAGTTTGCACTGAAGGTCTGGACAGAAACTCAGGTCTTCAAATTCCCAGTAACAGTGCTGGTGGCAGTGCTTGCTCAGTTGTTGCCTCTTTACTCACAGAAAGGTCAACAGTTCTAAAATTCAAAATAAAAATCCATCTACCTCCAGAGTTCCTGCCACATCTTGACAAGCTCTTCTGGGTTACAGGTCCAGTTCTTGAAAATGTGGGAACGTGGAGTCCACAGGCGGCTACACTGATAAGTACCTGTTCCAGCTACTGCAAACACTGTAGCAAACACTTTCTGAACCTCCAATCCTGGACACCATGTGTTTTGTCACAGATTTTCAAGTTTTTTGAGTTCCAGTTATTTTAGCTTTCTTTTTTCCTCCTTTCTCCAGAGGAAAGCCTTGTATCACCAAAGTCTTAAAAGATTCTCTTGAGGTACATCCAGATTTAATTACAAAAGAGCTAAAGACCAATACGTTTTTCTCCAAAACAGTCATTTCTCTTGAAGTGAAATCATCTGTCTTTGCCCTTTAGGTAAAGGGAATAGTCAACTTATTTTTTTAAACATTTAAATGAAATATCAGACTTGGTTAACATCTAATCATAACAAAATACACTTAAATGTGTTTGTGTTTACTTGCTTAGAGAGCTGTACCACTTTGTAAGCACCACCCCACAAAATGAAAATGTTTGAAATCCAACTGTTCAAACATTTTTAGTGTTTGCTGGATAATGGCCTGGAATCTGATAAAAGCAGCTGACAACTAATAAAGAAACAAAAAGTGGCACTTTGGCCATCTCACTATCACACTTGCAAGCAATCAGAATATAAGACAGGCCAGGGAAAAGTTAAGCTTTGACTCACTTCCCAATCTACTGGTTTTGAGATTCATCAAGAGTTCTAAAGAAAAGTCAATGTTAACCTTCAATTAATAAACAAAAACACCCAAAGAGCTTCAGGAGTTCCATGCCTGCTTCAATCCTTCCCAGTGAGCCCACCTGCTTAAAAAAAAAAAAATCCACGTGCACCATTAGCTGGGCTTGGCAGCACCATTTAAAAATAAGCTTGTTCACTATCTACCACGCAAACTAGGGATACAAAATAGGTGCAAAGTGATGGATGTCAACCATGGTCGTGGAAAATGGTCAAATGAAAGAAAAGTAGTCAGGCACCAGTACAAGCAACAGAAAACAATTGCTGGGCCAAAGATCACACTTGATGCTATGGAACGCACCACTCCTAATTGTAGCTGCTTATGTTGGGTGCCACAGTACCATTCGAAACAGCCACCCTTCAGGCAACCCATGGTGAGAGGAAAGGACTCAGAACAGAAGCCAAGCAGTGAAGCGATGTTACCCCGAAATAGCATGTCTAAGAAAACAGCTCACATATCCCAGGGACTCAAATCGGGGCTTCAAATAGGTTATGAAGGGTCCTAAATGACATCTAGGCCTCAGTTTCCTCTCTGTGGCATAAAATAGTTTTAAACTCTTCTGAGTCACAACCCCCTTCGAAAATGTGCTACCATGTAGCTGTTCACTCCCTCAAAATGCACATTCCCACACATTTCTATACATAAATCTAGGGAGCCAGCGAACCTCTAACTCCAATACAACCTCCCAGACTTAAATTTAGGGAATGCGCAGTTGCTAAACCTTGCAACTCAAAAAAAAAAAATAAAATAAAATAAAAAGACAAACAATAAACCTTTCTGTAAACTGACGCTTTATACCTTACAAAGCGCATTCAATCCCATACACACATTGATAGGCAGAGGAGGAAACTGAGGCGCAGACAAATTACAGAGTGACTTGCCTAAGGTCACTCCTCCAGCTGGTGGCTAGGCCCGGAAGCAAACCCAGCTCTTCCGACTCCAGGGCTCGAATCCCCACCCCGGAGCTGCCGCCAGAGCTCTCGTCCCCCACTAAGGTGGCATAAGTAGGAAAAGGCAAAGGAGAAAGCCCACCACCAACCATCCTCCAGCTCCCTCCTGTCCCCCCAGCTGGGTCCTTGCAGGCCCTGAAGGGTGGCGCCAGGCCTCCAGGCCGGCCCCGGCCACCCCCGCCTCCCCCGCCGCCTCCCCGGGAGCGGGGCGGAGCAGCTGCCCGCCGCCACCAACCACCCGGACGACTCCTCGTCGAATCGCAAAAGCATAGGCCGCCGCCCGAGTTCTGCGTACGAGAAGAAAGACGCGGCGCGAGCGCCAACGGCCACCGGGCGCGCGCCGCGGCGGCCGGGCCTGCGCCCCAAGAGCTGGATGCCAGAGCAGGAGAAAGAGCCGCCAACCGATCGCTCGATCGACCGCACGCCCGCTCCTTCGCCCTACCAGACCCGGGAGGGGGGGAGGGCGCGCCAGGGCTTCTTCGAGTTAGGGGCCTGACTCCCCGGCGACGAGACAAGATGGCTCCTCCGGTCTGCGCTGCAGCTACCGTCCAGGCTGCGTCGCTCGGCCCGCCCCCGGTACTGTTTCTTTAAATGGCGGAGAGGGTCAAGAAAGCAGGAAGCGAGGCGCGCGCGCTCACGTGACAGGGGCGGCCCAGCTAACCAAGATCCGGTCACGTGGGGTCAAGTTGCCCGCCAATCAGAAGGCGGCGTCTCAGGGTGGGGGCGGGAGGAGTTGCAGCTTTGTGATTGGCGGAGTGCTCCGCAGAGGCCTCGGGGGGCTTGGGGCGTCGGGAGTCAGCTAGGTGGCGGCGCGGCGTGCGCTAATCTAGACAAAGCAGAGGCTGAGGTGGTGGCGGCGGCGGCGGCGGCGGCGGCAGAGGAGGAGCAGGAGCACCGAGCGCTGAGCTTCGTGGCGCTAGTCCTGTCATCTAGTCAGGCGCGGCGTGTCTCGCGCGCGGGCGGCGGCGGCGGCGGCGGAGGCAGCACATGGTTCCTAGAGCGCGCTGCGGTGGTTGAGTTCCAATTCCGCGGGGAGGGACAAAGGCATCTGCGAGCTGTGGGCAACGCCCGGTCTGGTGCTGCGCTCGTCACTGCCCGCAGCCTTGGACTGGGCCAGACCGCTGGGACGGACTCCTCTTAGTGAGGAGCGAGGAGGTGGCCCCAGGACCCGGGCCCGCGGAGGCCTGCGGTCCTAGGCCGCCTTCTGAGGAGAGGGGGGGAGGGGCGCCTGAGGCGTTCGGGGCGGGTGTCCAGGGGCCACTGCCAGGTGTTCGCCCCCCACCCGCGGGGGTCGTGGCGTACTGTCCAGCTGGGTGTGGTCGGGGTTTGGAAAAAAAAAATCACTTTTCAGCCTCGAAGACCTGTTGGTTGGGAAGTGGTGAGGCCTGAGCTAGTCCCCGTCGACGCTGCAGTTATCACGCTCTCTGCCCGAGAGCACCTGTCCTGGCTGCTCTCTTGGAGGAATAAGTGAAGGTTCGCTTTTATGACAGAAGCGAGTGCATTTCCGGATTTGCAGCAGAAAATTTAGAACCGAAAACGGCTCGAAGAACCTGAAGACGAAGCGGGGATCAACCGCCAACTCCTGGGCTGTCACTCAGGACCCTAGAGGACTGGAGGGTTAGGATGGACCTCTTCCCCAAATGCCACGTGATGTCATAGTCACTGAGATCAGACACGCTTCTTAAAGAAGAGCTTGGACGTAGTGTCAAGTATCTGACTCTTATAGCTGCTAATTACACTCTCTGTCACCTGTCACTGAGAAAGCACAAAACAGCATTGGAAAATCGATCCCATTGTATGTGTTTCCCAGTTAGTGGGTAACGACTGGAACCCCCCTTGCCATCATGGCTTTCACCAATTACAGCAGCCTCAACCGAGCCCAGCTAACCTTTGAGTATCTGCACACAAATTCGTAAGTATCTTCGAGGAGCCACAGAGGTAACCAGTATCTCCTTCCTTGATGTTAATATGGAACCCTTTCTCCAGAACTCTGTGCATTTTCACTCTTTGGGATGGAGTGAGCTGTGGCACTGGATGGCTTGAGCTCTGTATTGAAGAACTGAGATCAGTGAAATATTGGTTGCTAATCTAGAAGAATCTGAGTTTCCACTTTATTGGATCAGAAATTTCCCAGATGCAAACTTTATCTGGAGTCAGTGTGTTGTTTCATTCATGCATTTAACAGGAATCCAACAGCTCTTGGATCACCAAAATGTGGACCGTTTAGTATCAAATGTTTCTCCTCTTTCCTGACATAGTTGGGTTTCTAAACAAGAAAATGAGGACTGTGACAATGACCACATTTAAATGACCAACTTGGAAGAAGAAAATTTTTATTTTGCAGCAGACAGTTGGCTGTATCTTTCTGGCAAATTGGTTGTACATCCAATGTAGTTTGTATTTGCTAGGCAGGAAATGGAGGTTTCTTTAAAGCCCTTCATTTAGTCAGTGCCCCAAGTTGTATGAAATCACAGAATGGTGCTGTGTTCATGGTTCTTGAGTCCCATCATCCCAGTTTGGTCTGTACTATTTTAGGGCTAATTCCTAACCCCACTTGTTAAGTTATCCAGTGAGGTCAAAGCTAGTATTTTAATAGCATTCACCTGTTACTTTGGAGACCAAGGTAAGTACCTGAAGAGAATGAAGACAGACCTCAATGAACAGTGCAGAGTTAGCTTAAGAACATCTTCAGAGTGGAGAGAATAGCTGCCAGTTATCCCATAATAGTGCAATGATTTTTGACCTTTTATGGAAAAGACATTATTCATGATTCCATAATAAGTGATTGTTGACTATTTTTCTGATTGAGGATTTTTTTTCTGAGCAGTGATTGTCCAGTGCTGAGAGATTTTATTTTGCATTGTTTAGAAAGCTTTTTATTGAGGCAGGTCATTTTAAGGGCTGGTATCTTAATGATACCTTGGTGAATTCTCACACATTTGATAACTCTTGAACCCAGGTCACCCATGAAAGATGCTTAGTAGCCTTGTTTCGATTGAGCCAGCAGTATTAAGAACAGTACGTGAAGGCCACTTAGATGTTTGTTGTTGATTGTGCTCTGTAAAGGGCTCAGATTTGAATTTTGGAAGGGCAAATTTGGAATTAACAGATTTTCTGGAAATTTTGGAAAACCATGCATGAACTGGCCTTCAAAATCTGGCCTCTTGTTCCACCTCCACCAAAGACTTAATGCTGTAACAACAGTATCGATGGTTCATTGCCTCAGGCTAATCACTGAAGTCTAACCTAGAATAATTTTTAAAGCAGACCTGTGGGTTAAGGATTGTTTAGCCTTTGAGGAAGCTGAGGCTCAAAGAAATTTGTTTTAGGGGATACAGAGGGACACATTATAGGTACCCAGATTTAAGACAGTTGATTTGGGAACATAATGTTTTTAACCATTTTACAGTACTGACTTAGTGTTCCCTTGAAGGTCCTGCTTTCTTGTCTGTAAAGCAGACATGGCTTCCCACTTTGTAAGTCTTCCATTTTGGTTCATTTTATAAGCTTCTGAGGATTGTGAATTCTCCTTTTGCTGTTCTATACCTTATTATCAGTAGGTAGACACTACCAAGGCAAAGGAGTGAACTGAGTTACTTGAATAGGTGATGTTGGAGAATTTTCTGTGAATTTTATCCATGTTGAACTGAAACTACTTGCTTACTTCAACCTCTGAGGATTGGCATATCATTTTGGAAACTCTGGAATTTTTCATCTGGATCACAAGTTTGATCTTTGAAGTAATTTTACTTTTGAATGTGTCTAGTCCTACTAGAAGAAAATATGAGCAGTAGAACACTGACTTAATTTTTTTTTTTTTTTTTTTGAGATAGAGTATCTCTGTATAGACCAGACCTTGATTGATCTTTTCCCTCAGCCTCTCAAGTGCTAGAATTTCAGGTGTGGGCCACTGCATTAGCCCTCAAACTAAGTTTTTTGTCCCTGACTAATTTTAAAAGATTTTCTTGTCCCTGTGAATTGATTAGAAATTAAAGCAAACTAAAACTTTTGAACATTTTTTACATGATGAGACTTGTAATGATAAAAGATTAACCTCTGTTAAGTGGTTCAATAAACTACTTAGATTGGTCTTACCATACCTTCTTCATTCTGTTAAAATCTTAAAAACACTAGACAATTTTAGATGTTTGACATCTACCATAATGACCATATTTTGAATTGAAAGAAATGGCATTTTGTAGAATTGCAAGCAGAGTTCAGGCTAGAGGGGTAGAAACCTCTATGAGTTAGTGAAAAGCCTGGGCTTAGAAGCCAGCAAATCCCAGGTTTGAATGCTTCCTGTTTGCATTTGGGCAAGGCAACTTCTTGAGTCTCAGTTTCTCCATCTATAAAATGGAACAAATCTGATAGTGCTTGAGGACTATGCAATATAACAAGAATTCTTAGTTTATGCATGGTTCACAGGAAAGTTTGTTGAGTAAAATAATTATTTTTTTCATGATATACTACTGTTATGTAGAGTAAAACCTGATGTGGAGGCAATGTGATCTTGAGTTTTCTTTGTTTTTTTTTTTTTTTTAGATTCTGTGGTACGTACTACTTGTGGTTATTTGGTTATATCAGCATCAAGGCTGAAAACAGGCTTGTAAATTCTCAGGATAGCCTGAAAGTCTAATTTTAATACTGTAGCTTTTTATGTGATTAACAAGTTAGGGTTTTACAATAAAAGAATTTGTGCTCTTTGGTGGTAGGTTTTTGTGGTTAGTTTTCTTGATATAGTGGTGGTAGTGTTGTTCCTTTGGTGTAAGATGCATATCTTAAGTCATTTGATCTGTTATACTTTTATGTGGTCTGATAGAACAGAATGACCAAATATAAGACGACTCAGTTTTATGCCCATAAGTATTATATGACTTACCTTAGTCATATGGTATTTCTGGGTTTATCCATGTGAAAAATGAATGTACAGGAACCTATCAAGTCAGTGGCTTGTTTAATGTGACTTACAAGCCTACTGAAATGTAGGCTGACATTCTATATACATATATAAAAGCTACTTAAATATGAAATGGCTCCAGGATTTCCCAACTTTTACTTTCTTCTAATTAAAGCAATTAACTTACTATCAACATAGTGAAGGACTCAGCAAAAGCTATCATTGTTATGAGCTTGTGGGTAATCTTTTTGTTTTAATTTCAGACTATACATAAACCACTTTTTAAAAATATAACAAGCTAATTTATACATGAATTTGTTGCTGGAAATGTTGAGCTGCAAAACTTGTGACTTGGGTCACAAGAATAAAAGCCACACTTGAAACCAGAAGAGTTTATAAAAAAATTTTTTATGTTTTACCAGTTAGTTGATCTTTTCTTGGATCATATACAAAAGATCTTTAAGTCTGTGAAGAAAAACTTAAAATTTATTATATTTCAAGTGCTAGCTAGCAGCAACTGTACTTTTTGAACTGTTTGGCAAAAAAGAAACTCATGCAATCAATGTTTATTTTTTCTTAATTTCTACATAGACAAATCACATTTCTAAATTTTCAGAGTACAATGAAAATTAGAGACACTTTGTGCTTGCCCTTTTAACATTCACTTACTGAATTCTAAATGTCTCCTTTCCCTGTGAAACAATCAGAACTATGCAGTGCTTTGAGAAGTTGCTTTTTTTTAAAAATTTCTTAATGACAAAGGTGGTCACAATTTTCCTGATAATTTTTATTCACCATTTTCACAACTAAGGCCAGAAACTTCTTTCCTTTTCTGAGACAGGGTCTCCCTATGTAGCCTTGGCTAAGCTGGAACTCACTATGTAGTCCAGGCTGGCCTTGAACTCACAGAGATCTGCCTGACTTTTGATTGCTGGGATCAAAGGTGTGAGCTACCAGGCCCAGCCAGAAACTTTTTTTTTTTTTTCCCAGACAAGGCCTTATTAAGCCCAGGCTGACTTTAATCTTGATATGTAACCAAGGATGATCTTGAAACCCTGATTCTCTTGCCTTCACCACTGAGTGCTGGACTATGGGTACACCACCACATTCCATTTTAGGTTGGATGTTCTGGGCAAGTACTTTACCATTTTAGCTAAATCCCCAGCCCAGAAACTTCCTTTGTTTGTCTTTTTGAGACAGGGTCTCCCTGTAGCCCCAGCTGGCCTGGAACTCACTATGTGGACTAGGTTGGCCTTGAACTCACGAAAATCCTCCTGCCTCTGCCTCCTGAGTGTTGGGATTAAAGTTGTGTGCCACCATGCCCAGCTGAAACTTCACTTTTTAAACCAGAAGAATTTAAGCTGTATTTTGTAAGTGAATCAATAACTACATTTTGGTAGAAGTTATGGTCCTATTTCTAATATAGTGTGCTCTTGTCACCTCTTTTTTTAGGAGCTGAATTTCTGAAATTCGTTGACTTATATTAAAAGCATATTCATGTTTCAATAAAAGTATTAAAGTAGAGCTGGCTATTTTATATTTCTATATTTCTATTCTCAGAGTTAAAGTTTCTGAGTCATGTCAGATAGGAAGGCACTGGAGGCTTCAGAATAAATGTTAGATCCCCTCTTTAAAACATAAACAACTTTTGAGATAGAATCTAGCTTTGTGGCCTAGGGTTGCTTAGAACTTCATTCTCTTCCTTACCCTTAGGGAATTATAGTTGTGTGCCATAATGCTCTGCTCTCGATTCACATTTTATTTTAATTAATTAATTTATTTTATTTTTGAAATGGTCTCACTGTGTAGCCCTGGATGGTCTGGAACTTGCTACATAGACCAGACTGGCCCTGAACTCACAGAGATCTACTTGCCTGGGATCAAAGGCTAGCTTAAATTCAATTTTTTGTTTGTTGCTGTACTGGGGCGTTAACCCAGGATCTTGTGCATAGTAGGCTAGTACTGATCACTGAGCTACTACCTTGGCCTCTAGATTGACTTTTAATATATATGACCTTTAATAACTAATCCTAATTTTCCAACATATTTCTCCTTGTTCCCTTGTCCCCTCTCCTCACCTCTATTTTAGAGGTGGGGATTAAACCCAAGGCCTGATGCATGCTAGACAAACACTGTAACACGGAGCTATAATCCCAGCCCTTTCTCTGTACGGAAGTGAAATATGTAGGGCATTTTTTCTTTTATCCAGTTGAGAGTTTAGAGAATTTAAAGTAATAATTTTGAAACTTAAAATTGAGACAGGCCAGGCCTGATGCCGCTTGCCTTTAATCCCAGCACTTGGGAGGCAGAGGCAGGCACATCTGTGTGAGTTTGAGGCTACCCTGGTCTACATAGCAAGTTCCAGGCCAGCTGGGGCTACAGGGAGACCATG